AGAAAGAAAGAAAAGTCAATTCTACACAAACTCTTCCAGGAAATTGAGAAAGAGAGAATATTCCCCAACCCATTCTATGAGGCCAGCATTACTGTGATATCAAAGCCAGAAAAAAATGGGGGCAAGGTGAAAGGGGTAAAGGTGCACATATGTATGGTGACAGATAAAAATCAGACTATTGGTGGTGAGCACAATGCAGTCTACACAGAAACTGATATATGATAATGTACACCTGAAATTACACAATGTTATGAATCAATATGACCTCAATAAAATAATTGAAAAATATATATATATTTGATTTATGTAGTTTCTTGGATCTGGCTTTCTGTGTGTGTGCATTTTATTTCACCAGAAAAATATTTTTAAAATTCAAAAAAAATGCCAGACAAAAGTATAACAAGAGAAGGGGCCGCCCCATGGCATAGTGATTAAGTTTGGCACACTCTGCTTCAGCAGCCAGGGTTTATGGGTTTGGATCTTGGGCGTGGACATACACCACTCATAAGCCATGCTGTGGCAGTGACCCACATACAAAATAGAGGAAGATTGGCACAGATGTTAGTTCAAGGCAAATCTTCCTCAGCAAAAAAAAAAAAAAGGAAAAGGAAAAAATAACTTTCAGAAAACTAGGAATTAGAAGGGAATCTCCTCAACCTGATAAAGGGCATCTATTAAAAGCCTATAGCTAACATCATATATAATGGAAAAGACTAAATTCTTTCCCTAAGATCAAAAACAAAGCATGGATAACCACTCTCACTACTTCTCCTCAACATTGTACTGGAGGTTCCAGCCAGTGAAATAAGGAAAGTAAAAGAAATGAAAGGCCTCCATAATGGAAGAGAAGTAAACTGTCTTTATTTGCAGATGACCTCATTTATGTAGAAGATCCAGTGGAATCTACAAGAAAGCTACTGAAACTATTGTGAGTTTAGCAAAGTTGCAGGATACAAGGTCACTATACAAAAATCAGTTGTACTTCTATACACTTGCAATGAACGATAGGAATTTGAAGTTTAAAAAATGCACTTTAAAATAGTATAGGGGCCGGCCAGGTGGTGCAGCAGTTAGGTTCACATGTTCTGCTTTGGCGGCCCGGGGTTCACTGGTTCAGATCCCAGGTGTGGACCTACCCACCACTTGTGAAGCCATGCTGTGGCAGGCATTCCACATATAAAACAGAGGAAGACGGGCACAGATGTTAGCTCAGGGCCAGTCTTCCTCAGCAAAAAGAGGAGGAATGGTGGCAGATGTTAGCTCAGGGTTAATCTTCCTCAAAATAAAAAAGAAAGAAAGAAAGAAGGAAGGAAGGATGGATGGAAGGAAGAAAAGGAAGAAAAAGAAAAGGAAAGAAAGAAAATAGCATAAAATATTACAAAATGTGTGCAAGATTGCACAGTGAAAACCACTTGACGCATATTTGGTACTCAATAAACATTGAATGAGTAAATAAAGTGGTAGGGTCAAGGTCATGCAGTCTGACTCTAGAGCCTCTACCCTTTCACAAAAGATACAGTAAATAGTTTTTGTTTCTAATATAAAAGTATTCTGTCTTTGATTTAAGTTTTATGTTTAATTTCCATGAATCCCAGGAGTGTTGGTTTTTTCAGTAACAGCTACCAAATGCCTGGAATCTTGTAGCATTTGGTGACAATGAAACTTATATACTAAGAAAATCATCTTAGTTTGAATCTTAAAACATCTTCTTAAGAATTCCTTCATCTAGGCCCGGCCTCATGGTCAAGCGGTTAAATTCGCGCACTCTGCTTTGGCGGCTGGGGTTTCGATGGTTTGGATCCTGGGCGCGGACATGGCACTGCTCATCAAGCCATGCTGAGGCGGCATCCCACATGGCACGGCCACAAGGACCCACAACTAAAAATATACAACTATGTACCGGGGGGCTTTGGGAGAAGAATTAAAATAAAAATAAAAAATAAAAAAGAAGAAGATTGGCAACAGATGTTAGCTCAGGTGCCAATCTTTAAAAAAAAAAAAAAGAATTCTTTCATCCTTAGAACAATGAGAAATCGTGGTCAAGACCATTGGCTTAACAAACAAATGACTGTGCCAGTTACATACATCTGCAAACTTTGAAAGACTATCTTGTCACGACAACATGCTGCAAAAATGTCACCTTGGCCTTATTTTCAATGGTCAGCCACACCCATTTGTGTGAATATTTCCCTTTTTTTTTTTAAAGATTGGCACCTGAGCTAACAACTGTTGCAAATCTTTTTTTTTTTTTTTTTTCTGCTTTATTTCCCAAACCGCCCTGCCGCCTCAACGTGGCCTGACGAGCGGCGCCATGTCCGCACCCCGGATCCGAACCCTGGGCCGCCACAGCGGAGCGCGCAAACTTAACCGCTCGGCCACGGAGCCGGCCCCTATTTCCCTATTTTGAATCATATCAAAGGCAGTCAGTACTCGAAGTTACTGGAAGATGCAATAAAAGTTGCAGCAGCTGGAATATCATTACATTCCATAAGATAATGATAGCATCTGAGGAGAGTTAAGGGATACGGTGGGCATTCTCAGGCAGCTGCTGGAGCAGCGAAAGAAGTTCTGAGTGGGTATGGGAGCTCGTTTCAGTCTCTCATCTTCATGAATCAAGGTGGACCCTTCAAAGGAGAGCTAAGTTCCCTCAGAAGACAATGTAACAGCATGGGAAAATGAGTATGATGTGATAGTAAGTTAAAAATGTGGGATAGAAAATTACATGCAGATTGTGTCTCTGGCTACAATAGTATTTGCCTGAAGAGGCAGAGATTTCTGAAAGCTTCAGCTTTTCCCCTTTCTGCGGAAGGGGAAGTATGTGAGAACCATGGGAAGGTAGTCAGGCCCGTTTCTGAGTTCTCGGCACATATAAGAAGTTGTTTCATCTCACACTAATAAGATTGATCATAAGCCTCATGCACGCAGGGCATGCAGGTGTGCACCTGCCTGGTTTCAGTTCACGGTTTTCTGACCATATATTCTTGGCTTCTGACGGTTGGCGTAAGTTCTAAGATTGGTGATGATACTGTCACAGATCTACCTGGAGACTACTTAGATGGGGAGGATTATTTCCTCATAGCCCACTTCTCTAGAGAGTGCTGTGGGGGAGAAGAGGGAAGCACATGTTCAAATTGACCTATAAACATCACTTAATAGTGTTAAATGGCAGCCCCGAGGACAAGCCAGGGGCCAGTTCTATGAGTTAACAGTCAGCCTCTCTGTGCTCACAACCAATTGTGGAAATCTTGGAGATAATCATGAAAATATCATCTCTCTCCATTCTGACCCTCAACACAGTGATCTCCCAGCCTGCTTGTACCCATAACAAAATTGGGTGAGATTCAGGAATAAAGAAGAAACAAGGAGCTTTCCAACTTGATAATGTTTTGCTGTTGAATGAACTTCTGCCACTTTATAATTCTTTTTTTTTTTATTAATGTTATGATAGATTACAACCTTGTGAGATTTCAGTTGTACATTTTTGTTAGTCATGTTGTGGGTATACCACTTCCCCCTGTGTGCCCTCCCCCCACCCCCCCTTTTCCCTGGTAACCACCGATCAGATCTCCTTGTCAATATACTAACTTCCACCTATGAGTGGAGTCATATTGAACTTCTGCCACTTTAAATGCTTTAAAAAAGAATATAGTACTTTAATTTCACAAGGAATACAATGCTGATTTCATATGTATGTGTGTGTGTGTTTACATACATATACGTATACTGCATTTTGAGAGGTTTCCTTCCATACCTTGTATCAACAAAGGATCTTAGTGAAATTGGTTGTGTTTGAGCCACATCTGGGCAAACGGGCCTCTCATTCCTCTCAGTTTAATAAGGGTTCATAGGAAAGTACCAAGAAAGACAAAAATTCTGTCTATTTTTTGGAAGAGTTCTTTAAAATGAACTGTTTGATATTCCACATTCATAGCATTCTGCTAAATCACTCAGTGCATACTCTGGTGTTAAAGTTAGTTGTGTAAAGTCTTTCTGACCTACAAAATTGAGGGGGGATCCATCATATTGAGGAGTTCAATAAAAATGTATTAAGTTAAAATTTTCTAATTGCTAAAGCCTGTGAGTAGCCAGCTTTCTTTCTTCCTGACTTAATCTGTGTACACGGAAAAATACTCCTGGACTCTTGGGTTTTTTGTTCGGTTTGTCTTCTATAATTCTTCAGGCATACTAATCCCCAGGTGTTAAAGAAATCTCAAACCCTAATACACACCACAGGCTTGACACACAAAAATCATTATCTTAACCTAGTTTTCTTCTCCTAAGTTGTCAAGAGGTGAGACCTCAAGTCTATAGACTTAGGTAAACCACTAGATTGCCTACCTGATGTATCACTTATGCAAAAAATCACGAGAGGAATAAATAACATGAGGCGAAGATTAGACACGCATCCGATGGCCTGTTCATAGATGAAACCGTGGAGAGAAGCTTCCCCAAATCTTAGTTCTGAATTAATTTTACTGCATGCTCATCCCCGCTCCCAAGCCCAGTATGTGTTTTAACCCAGGAAAGAAATGCAAACTTTTATTTGCTCAAGCAGAAAAAAGAAACCAAGAAGCCCCACGAAGACGAAGCTGACTTGGGAGTCCTGTTCTCTCCTTTTCCCACCGACAGATTTGCTCGGGCCCCGACGCCGGTTGGATCTGAGCCTCCCGGGGCCCGGGCAGGTTACACGAACATCCCTTTTCCCCACCGCTCCGCTAAGGACACGTGTACTTCCTGCCAAGCTAGACCTCAGGACCAGGAGCTGCATCCCGCCCCTCTCCTTCCAGGCCCCGCCCCGCCCACTGAGCCATCAGCCAATCGAGCCTCGATGCGTAGCCAGGCCCCGCCCCTCAGGCTCTGGCCCGCCGCCTTTGTTCTTCCCCGCTCCCACTCTCAGCCTGTGTGTTCCCAGCAAACCGAGTGGCAGCCGCTGATTGGTGGCCGCGACGCAGCCAATCAGAAGGGGGCACCTCACGTTAGCGCTCGGAGCTTTAAACGCGCGAGGCGCTGGGCGCGCGGAGGAGGCTGGGGAGGGGGCCGGCGCGGAGGGCGGTGCGGCGGAGCTCAGCCGCCCAGTGAGGCACACGCGGCCCGCGCTCGGGTCGGGCTGGGATTGGCCGGCCTGTGGCTTCCCCCGCCCCCAGCCAATCGCCGGCGAGGTCTTTCGGGGGGCTTTCTGTCCCTTCCTCCGGCTTGGCTCGCGAGCCCCGGGCCGGAGATCCCGATCGCCCAGCGGCCGCCGGCGCAGAGAGGCCGCGCCCCGCCCCTCCGCGATGAGGCCCCGGAAAGCCTGCCTGCTCCTGCTGCTCCTGGCGCTGGCGCAGCTGCTGGCCGTGGCGAGCGCCGGGGGGCCGGACGAAGGTGAGCGGCCGGGCGGCGGGCCGGGCCTGCGGGCTGCCGAGCGCCGCGCGGGGGTCGCGGGGGCGCGACCCGGCCGGTGGTGCCGGCGGAGCCCTCCGGAACTGGCGCCCGGCGCCAACTTGGGGGAGTCCACGGGCGTAGCGGTGGGCAGGGCCGCCGAGGAGATCCCGGGAGAGCGGGCTGTGGGGCCGGGCCTCTTAACGAGCTCCCCGCCACGGGGGCTCGGACGCGGGGAGGGTGCCGAGTGCCGCCTTTGCAACTGGCTGCTTCGCCGTGGTTCTGCTTAAATTTCTCTCGGGTCCAGGCGGACTGCCCGTCCCTGGGAAGGGGCGCTGGGGAACTGGTTACCATTTCCAGACGAACGCGCCCGGGGAGTGTGAAGGGAGAGGGGCCACTGCTTTCAAAACAGGTTTTAGAAAAGGGGCGAGGGTCTGGAGACCGCATCGGGAACTCTCTGGGGCAGCCGCGGGCAGCAAGCATTTTACTTCTTAAAGATGGGGTTTGTAGATAAATGACTCAAGGGTTCTGGTCTGAGGGAGAAAGGGATGGCTTGGTTTGCATCTTTTAGAAACCGGAGAGACCTTTGCTTCTGCGAGCATTTATTCAGCACCGACTCCGTGCCAGTCGCTGCGCTGGGTTCCGGGAGTAAAGGATGATGTGTGGCTCGGGCCCATCAAGTGCCCGCTCTAGTAGGAACATTAGACAGCTACTAGACATGGTTCCTGCATTTTTCTTGGAAATAAGCTAGCAATAAATGCGTAAGAGAACTTTGAAAATTAGAAGTCCTAGTCAAGAGAAGGCGGCTATTGCTGGAGAACAGGGCATCCCGTTGCTGGTCTTAATCTTCTTCCTCTCCGGCCTTTCTCCTGATGACTGGTTTTTTTTTTTTTCCTATTGAGTTTGCTCCAATGTAAATAACCCCTTTTTTCTAATATTAGTTTGTAGGGGAAGTGTGAACTTTATACTCTTTCAGACGGATTGAGTAACTTATGTGCGAATCACTGATTCAGGAGCCTGTCCCCAAATAGAAGAGGAAGTAAAAACCGGCACTTGGTGAAAAGAACACCTGAAAGGAACTAGATAGCAGTGTAGCCCACACGTGTGTCTTGGGACCTTTATCTAAATCACCTGGTGCCTATTTAAATCTAGAGTCCCGAAATATACCCAAGCAGAATGCAGGAGGGAGCCCTGGAATCTGCATTTTAAAGATGTTCTTCATTGATTCATAGGCAGAATAAACTTTGGGAGGACCAGTGGGGATGGAGGGTAGTCTTTGGAATGTAGCCAGAAAGCAAAATAGCATTGTCTTGGTTTTGATCCAGTGATTCCATTTGGGGGGGATTTTTAAGACGCCTAGGAGAGTGGTAAAGTTGGGTGAACACCAAGGGCTATTAGGTCCAGTAAGTTTATCATTTGGGTCACAGGTCACCAATGCAGTGGAGGCCCTGGGAAGCATTTGCCTCTGGGGTGAGCTCAGGAACCTCTGGAGTTGTCATGGCCGTGGTTGGCCTCTGAGGGGCATCCTCTGGGGTGGGGTGGGGGTTCTAGTCCTCATCTTCACTTTCCCATCCCTGAGGGCATCCCTGGCCCTTTGCTTTGAACACCTATCACAGGGGCCGCCCTGGTGGCTCAGCGGTTAAGTTTGCACGTTCTGCTTCGGTGGCCCGGGGAGGGGGGATTCACCGGTTCGGATCCCGGGTGCGGACATGGTGCCGCTTGGTAAGCCGTGCTATGGTAGGCATCGCACATGTAGAGTAGAGGAACATGGGCACAGATGTTAGCTCAGGGCCAGTCTTCTTCAGCAAAAAGAGGAGGATTGGCAGCAGTTAGCTCAGGGCTAATCTTCCTCAAAAAGAAAAACAAAAACAAAAATACCTATCACAGGTAACAAGTCCTGTGGATTTATTTAGGGGCCACACTTCCCTCCACCCCAGAAGTTCCAAGTCTTTGGGCTGTTTTGTTTTGCTTGCCTCTCTTACATTTTAGATTCAAACAGCACAGTGGTGTCTGAGTTTCTAAATGCTGCCCCCGCCCCCCACAACATGGTTCCTAAATAGAGCTTAAGCTCTGATGGTGTAAGCCACAGGATGCAGGCTTTCCATGTCTCAGATGAGAAGTCACTTGTCCTCTGCACATCTTTCCAGCCAGAGTAGTAAAGGAAAATGTTTTGGTGCTGGTTGTTGCCTCCTTTTATTTGGGATTGGTTTAGATTTGAAAGTAAGTGGAAATTCACTTGGGTGTAGTGCTAAGGACCTGCCCATCTCTTTTCATTCCTGAGAAGTAATTATCAAACGATTCCCCCTAAAACTTAGGGTATATTGGGAAGAAACTCTGATGCGACAATACAGCATAGCAGGTGAGTGGTCAGGACCCTCCACTGAGCAGCTTTGTTATCCTTGAGCGGGTGACGAAAGCTCTGTGCACCTCAGTTTCTTCATCTGTACAGTGCGTGTAATGTGTTCCCCTCAAGGGGTGAGGTGGTATGTTTAGGAGCTCAGCACAGTGCCTGGCGCATAATGAATGTCGGCTGTAATAAAGTTAGATCTGGAGTTAATTTCTTTGTTTAATGTAAACATTCAGTATTGACCTAGTGGTAGAGTTTTTCCAGCTCTTACGGGCACTTTGTGGGGGTGAAGAGTGGCCAGCTGAGGAGGTAGAGGGAGGGCATCCTGAAGGAGCTGCCTGCATCCAGGCTGGGCAGGGATCCACTGCTGGGAATGGACAGGGCCTGCAGTGACCTGGTTGGAGGAGCGGCCCCACATTTCAGGAGTGGCCCTTACATGTGGGCTAAGCAATGTAGAAAAGCTGCGAGAGCCTTCCCAGGCCTCACGCTGAGGAGGATGGCACCCTTCCAGAAGGTGCTGGAAGGCTTTGGATATGTTTCTGTCCCAGAATGTCCAACTTTAAAAGTGAAACTGAGTGAAGAGTGGTCTCCCCATTAAAATGTGGGATGTTTTCCGGGTAGGGATGTGTGGGTGTCTAGTGAATAGGAATACAGAGCCCACACCTTCTCACATTGCAGAGGAACCATCCCAGGGTTATCTGCGTGTCGGGGAGGAATGGAAAGGAGGGGCCCCACCTTAATGCAGATGAGAATCCTTAATTACGTAGGGGAATGTTCTGTCATTTTCTTTGTTATCCTTAAAAATATAAAATGAAAATCTTTTTTTTTTAAAGTAGCAAGAAATGAGCTCACTCTTAGGAACTCTGTCCCATGGTAACTCACGGACACCCATTTAATCAGGAGACCCCATCACTAGTGGTGGTCACAGACGCTTCGGGCTGAGCACAGAGCTCAGAGCATCTTTGCTTTTCTCTTCTGTAAAGTTCGCCTTATCCCCGTGCGTTGAGCGGATCGCCAAGTCCCTGTTTCTGCCCTAGCTTGAAGAGCGGATTAGGTCCCCAGTGCTTTCTTTTCAGCCTCCGTCCAGTCTTTCCATCTGCCTGCAGGTAAATTTGATTCTCATACTGGACAGAGCAGCCGGGCAGTGAGAGTGGATATGCACGGCCCGCGAGCCCTGCCAAACTGCCCTCAGCAGGCCTTCCAGACCGTGTGAGCATCCGTGTCCCGGGCAGCACATGTGGTTCCTCCTAGGCTCCCCGGGTTTGCAGCCCCCATGCAGCTCACTTTGGGTAGGACCTTCAAGTGAGGGGTGGTCAGACTAGCCTTTTGGAAGGCCATTGTGACTAGCGTCCCACAGGCCTGCTTAGGTAAGCTCAGTACTTGTCCTGCAGTATTCCTGGAAATACCTGGAACCCCTAGCCAGCCAGGGTGAAACTCAAGTTCCCAAGAGCCATTAGGTCAGGACCTGAGTGTAGAGTGTCGGCTGCCAGTCACCAGTGGAAGGGGATTCAGTGTGATGTGAGTGTAAAGAGACAAGCTTAGGCCATCAGCCTAAGAGGTGGAGATGGGGCCTGAGCCCAGGGGTCTCCCTCAGGTCCTGTCCTCTACACACCCCAGGAGCCTGGTTCTTACCACTCTCCCCAAGCCCTCTTGATGCTGCCTGATGACAGTGCTGGGGGCCTGGGGCCTCTGCAGGTCTGTCCACCCCAGAGGGTTCCTGCTGTGGAGGAAGGAGGTGGTGAGGTGACCGTGGAAGTGGGGATGTTGGAGAGCTGTGGCCCAGAGTGCAAAGGTGGGGAGGGGCGACAGGGCAGGGAGGGAACTTGCCCCAAGAAATATGGGCATTTGCTTGGTTTGTACTTCTCAAATTGGTTTCTATTTGGATTTTAGAGCTGTTCTTCCCAACCCCCCCCCCCCCTCCAAGGAACTTAAACTTTAAGTTGGAGAGCGGAGAGAGGAATGTGAAAGTCAGGAAAAAGCAGTGGGATGTTTAAAGGGACACAGTTGAGGAAAGTGTGGCTCCGTGGGGAGGAGGTGGGTTTTTGGTTTGCTTTTTGTAATTAGTTTGCAGATTGGGTTGATCTTAACGATAATGAACAAAACGGCCACCCCACCCAGACCAGTTCCCTGGCTTGTCCAGCAGCTGCAGAGGCGCCACTGGATTAGTTGGGGCGGGGCTCAGATTGGACAAGTCCCAGGGGTTCCAGGATCCCAAGGGCAGGTTTTCAAGCCCCAACCTCACCCTCAGTCCCAGATAGCTGTAACTCTCAGAGTTGGTTTATCTCCTGGGGAGCACCTCCAAAAATGACTACTTGGCCCCTTGAAACATCCTGCCTCGGGAGTTAATGAAATCGTGCACTTCTGCATGCCCATGTGACAGTAGCTGGAGAGCCTAGTTAACACAAGTGCGGTCCCACAATTCCTTGCATCTGTAGTTGGGCAAAAAGGTCATTTGAACCTTGGTAATAAGATGTACTCGGATTCTTGCATTCTGGGAAGAGAACTTTGCTCCCAGACAGGGCATCCTGCACAGGTGTAATTTGTTGTATATTCTTGATGCATGTTGACCTGTAAATCCCTAAAATTCTTCATGGGATAACGCCCACCCTGGAGATTACTCAGGGCTGACTTTATAAGCAAAACGTAATTCCCCATCCTCTTCCCTTCATACTTCGAACTTTCTCTGAAGGATAATGAACTTCTGGGGCTGTTTTTTATGCATATGAGGTAAAATGCCATCCCCTTTTCAGAAGTGGAAATCGTATTCCGTCCTCGAGAATGAAAAGAGATCAAGTACTTATTTCCGGTTTGTACTGTTTTGGGAATCAGACAGTCGTTCGGTCACGGGAGATTGAAGGAGGCCCTGCCTCTGGAAAGCATAGAGGGTGAGCGAGAGGAGGCATGTCCCTAAAGTTAGCCTTGCCCTTGAGCACAGATGTGGGGGAACCACAAAATGAGGAGCTCCTCACATGCCAGGCGTGGGCTGCGGGTAGAGGAGCCTGTGCTGCGGGGGCGAGGCCCGGAGAGACTGCAGAGGGGCGGTGCCGAGGACTGGATCAGACCTCCGGCAGGAGGTGGGGAGGAGAGGCTGACGTTGGGGTTCTCTGAGTCTGGGCAGGAGGCATGCACAGCAAGCCCCAGGGGGCTACGTCTGGAGAGGGGGCCAGTCCTGCCCTGCGAGTCCTGCTGGGGCATATAGCCTTTAAATTCTAGTCCTCTTGTTTTCAGATATCTCTTAACCATCCCCTCCCTTCAAATGAAATCTTAAGAGGCCACCCAGTGTGCAAATTTAGAGCATAATTTCTGGGATGGGGGAGGCCTGATGTCACCACCTCTTCTCCTGGTGGCCCCCAGGAACCACTTAGTACTTATGACACCTTTTGAGGGTTTGGGGTTCTAGGGAGGTTTCTGAGGAGGAGAGTCACCAGTTCTCTAACCAGTCTGGATGTTTTCCACTCAGATTCTTCTGATAAGGAGGATGCCCTTGAGGAGGAAGATGAGGAGGAGGACGATGACGATGAGGAAGAGGAGGATGACTTGGAAGTTAAGGAAGAAAATGGTGTCTTAGTCCTAAAAGACGCAAACTTTGATAACTTTGTGGCTGACAAAGACACAGTGCTACTGGAGTTTTACGCTCCATGGTGAGGACCCACATTCTGCTTTAGTCGGCTGGATGGACCAGGGGTTTCTCTGTGCTCGCATGCTTGACCTCTCAAAGAGTCATCCAGATTTGGCAGGGTGGGAGTGTCTGCGTGCAGGAATTTGGCCCCTTGGTTCAGGAACGCCAGGAGCACAGCATTCCGCAAGTGCATCGAGCATCCAATGAGCCAGCCCTCAGGGACCGCAGTCTCACTTGTTTCAGACTCTAGTAGTTTAAAATATGAATATGTCCCCTGATAGTTACAGCTCAGGCGGGGGGACCTTTAACAAGTTGTGATGACTTGGAGAACTGTGTCAGTGACAGACATGTCCCTTGTTACAGATTCTGCCCCCTACCCATCTCATGGCCACCCCACCTCCCTCCTCCTGCCAGTGGTCAGGCCGGTTGCCCAGTGCAGGCTTGGCCTGCGGCGTGGTTTCCAGTTAGGAAAGGCACACAGACCCTGGGGGAAGCAGAGCCGGGTGCCCCACTTCTTTTCTGGTCTCTCACCCTCACGGTGTGGCACCTTTCAGCGCGTGCGCCTTTCCCTCACCTCTCTTCTGCTGGGTTTTGTTCTTTTTTGGGGGGGGCGGGGTGGAGGGAGAAGATTAGCCCTGATCTAACATCTGCCGCCAATCCTCCTCTTTTTGCTGAGCAAGACTGGCCCTGAGCTAACATCCGTGCCCATCTTCCTCTGCTTTATATGTGGGACGCCTGCCACAGCATGGCTTGCCAAGTGGTGCCATGTCCACACCCGGAATCCCAACCGGCAAACCCTGGGCTGCCGAAGCGGAACGTGTGCAAACTTAACCACTGTGCCAGTGGGCCAGCCCCATTTTGTTCGTTTTAAATCTCACAATCCCTTCTTTTCTTTTTTCTTCCTCCTGCCCTCCCTGGTTGACTTTGGAGACAAAATAGTCAAGATATACTTATGTCATTTGTCCAGTGCCTGCTGTTCAAGCATGGTACAGGGTGTCTTGCATAAAATATCTAAATAGTCCTTTGAACAGGTCTGTGCCATTATATTCCTATCTTATAGATCACCAGTTCTCAAACTTTTTGGTCTTAGGACCCCTTGACACTGGAAAATTGAGGACCCCAAATAGCTTTTTATGTGGGTCATGTTTATCAGTATTAACCATTAAACTGAGAAATAAAAAAGTATTAATTCATTTTTAAATCACAATAACCCATTGCGTGTTAATGTCAGCATGCTGCCATCATTGTCGTTCATGGAGCCTCTGGACAGCTCCAGTGTACGCTTCTGAGAGAATGAGTGAAAAAGACAGAAAACGTCTTTTGTAGAGAGTTCTCACCACACAGACCCCCTGAAAGGGATCCCTGGGCCCAACTTTGAGAAACTTACAGATGGAAACCCTGGGGTTTGGAGATGTTAGAAGTCTGCCCAAGGCAGAGCTGGGATTCAGACCTCTATCTGATGTCCAGCTGCCTTGGCCTTCCTGTTGTGTTACATTGTGTCTCTCCTCTTAACTGGAAACATTTCTGGTCCTAATGCCACCGTTTTTTTGTGCATTGCTGGATTTAAGTCTCCTTAAGTTAACCTGCTGCTGCTTCCCTAAATCTAATTCTTAGGTGCGGACATTGCAAGCAGTTTGCTCCGGAATATGAAAAAATTGCCAGTACTTTGAAGGAGAATGATCCTCCCATTCCTGTCGCTAAGATCGATGCGACCTCGGAGTCGGCACTGGCGAGCAGGTTTGGTGTGAGTGGCTACCCGACCCTCAAGATCCTTAAGAAGGGGCAGGCTGTCGACTACGAGGGCTCCAGGACCCAGGAAGGTGAGTGGTACCTGAGCTGTTGGAGGAAGCTGGGGCCAGGACTCTCCTCCTGGAACGGAAAGTGAGGGGAGGGAGAATTTGGATAATAGAAAGGAAGACAAGTTGAGGGGACTAGGAGTGACCCCTGGGAGCTCCAGCTTCTGGGAATGTTTGAGGTAACTACGATCAAAATGAACTCGTCCTTGGGTAGGGGGATACCTTCCCATTTAAGACCATGAAACTCAGGGTCTAGAGCAGATGTGTTAAGAAATGACATAAGAGGCCAGGGTTCTTGGTGCTGTTCTAGAGCAGTGGTTCTTAATGTTTACCTTGCATCAGAGTCACCTGAAGGGCTTGTGGAGACAGATGGCTGAGCCCCATCCCCAGAGTTCTGATTCAGTAAGTCTCAGGTCAGGATCAGTAATTTGCATTTCTTATGAGCGAAGCTTCTTAAGTCCAAGGCTTGCCAAGGCTGCCATTCCAGAGCCCTGCATTGAGAACCAGTAGTGTGGGACCCAGATGGTTCTCTAAAAGTAGGCCTAATGGATCCCTGCCTGGCTCACATTAGGCACTAAATAAATTTTTTTTTCTTTTACTTTTTTTTTTTTTAAATTGAGTTATTGATAGGTTACGATCTTGTGAAATTTCAATTGTACATTAATGTTTGTCAGTCATGTTGTAGGTGCACCACTTCACCCTTTGTGCCCACCCTCCACCCCACCTAGGCACTAAATAAATTTTATTAAATGAATGAACAAATAAAATTGTGGCATCTTTTGCATATCTCTTAATCACTGAGAAAAAAATTACTCGATGCTCCATTTTCCATTCCCAGTGTGGCATAGTGAGAACAGCACTGCACAGGGTTTGGGTCTTTATAGCTGTGAAATAGCGCTGTGTCCTGGACAAGGGCCTTCCCCTTGCCAGGCCTCGGGTTCCCCATCCTCAAAACATGAGGTCACTCGGACTTGGTCCCCAAGTTTCCTTTGAGTTGGTGCAAGAGTCTGTCCTGTGATCCTCTGAGCGCTGGAACCGTTGTGGGTACGTGAAGAAGACATGATCACGACCATTAATACTTTCACATTGTATTTGTTGACTAGATAATGTGGTTTGGAATTCAAAGAGGTGGATAATCAATAGTCTTTCCACGCTGGCCCCACCCAGCTCCCCTCCAGTAAGGCGGCTGGTATAACACGCTTCTCCTGTGCCCTTCATGGATACTTTGTACACATCAAAGCAGATACATCTATGTGTATAATTTTCACACAATTATTAGCATATCTTAAACACCATCTGCACCTTCATGATTTTACTTAACAAATTTGTTGTAGCTGTATCAGTACATAAGGAACTTAATCTAAAAACATGCTGAAAGTTTACTGTTTAAAAGTAAATAGGCCTGTATATTTGGAGGTCTGTGCTCAACCTTTGACCTCTAGGGATGTGACCCCATTTGGAATCTTGAGAGCAGTACTGGCCAAAGTGGGCTCCTCGGGCAGTCGGCCCCCCAAGTGTGTGTTAACAAATGGGCCTGTTCCGCGTTCGCTGACTCGGCGTCGGGCGTGGGCTGGGGCGGGCACCTGACCTGTGGGTGCCGTGGAGGTGCTGCTGGTGCTCGCTTCGTCTGAAAGCTTGTCATTCTCAGGCATGGTTCTCAGACCTGGCTCCTTGGGTTCCACTGCAAAAAAGGGGACGTTTTTAAAAGTTTGCCACCACTGCTCCTAAGAACCACTTGGAAAGTGCTTTGTGAGAGTATGTTCTGTGTCCTGCTCCCACCATTGATTCCTGCTCTGGGGACCAAAGCCACAAATGGACCTTCTTCTCATGGCTTCCCAGGTGATGCTGGTGCAACTCAAGCCATGGGGGAGCTGCTCCTCTTGTCGTTTTTCTCCATTTTCACATGCATTTTACCATGATGAAATATGCTGGTGCTAAGTGTGCATGAGTGAATGCGTATATATTTGCACATGCAGAGGGGAGGCCCCCAAGACTATTGCCGGGCCTGTGTGGTCCAGACACTGGGAGGTGCCCCCTCGGGGTTCACTTGCAGTTAGTACCGTGGTCCGTAAGAACGGAGTCTCGCCCATCAGGTTGGTTGTGGTCCGTAGAGAAGTGTGCAGGTTTGTGCAAGGCAGTGGACCTTCTGACTCCTACCTGTGGCCTCAGAACTGCAGAGTGGCCCTGGCTAGAGATGCTATTGGACTTCAGGAACTCAAATGTTCCCTCTTCTCCTGTGTCATTTCCCCCCCACCCCCGCCCTTTTCTCTCTTCGCCCCTCCCCACCTGCCTCTGGAGTGAGGTGAGTGCCCACCGGCTTTGGGTCTGCCTATGCTCAGTCTTTTTGGTTTTCTTTCAGAAATTGTTGCCAAGGTCAAAGAGATCTCCCAGCCTAACTGGACACCTCCCCCAGAAGTCACGCTTGTGCTGACTAAAGACAACTTCGATGAAGTGGTGAACGATGCAGACATCATTCTTGTGGAGTTTTATGCCCCATGGTAAGATGGTGTTGCTCTCACATTATTCGGATTTTGATCGGCCCTGTACTGTGCGCGGTACCCTAGCAGGCACTGGGCGGGCGTGTCAGAGGCAGACCCCCTGCACGAGGCAGAGGTGGCTGAAAACCAAGGTGTGCAAAGGGTGGAGTGGAGCTGCTCAGTGTCCGGGCAGGGGTGGGTGGTCCTGTGCAGTCTTCTCCCATGGCATAGGATGAGGCTAAACAGAGGCCAGGAGTGTCGAGCAGAGTGAAGCCCACGTGTCCACGTAAGGGGGCTGCCGGGTGATCCCGGGCCCCTCAAGGCTGGAGGACACCACTGTGCACCAGGCCTGTGTCTGCCTAGATCACCTTTGTCACTGCACACCTGCTAGTGCGGGGGAAGTGTCGCTGTGAAAGCACTCTGACAGCCATGACTCGCAGTGGGAGCTGGCGCTGTTTGCTGTCCTGCAAGGCATTGAAGTGCTGCTCTGGAAGTTTGTCCGGCCGTGATAAGGAGGAAAGGGCAGAGCTGCCGCAACAGCAGGTGGGGTGGTGGCAGCTGGCCGCCTCGTGCTGCCTGTCCCAGACTGTAGTCGGGGCCTTGCTGCCTCCCTCCCGAGGTGTTTGAACCATGGTTTCATCTGTCTTCATCTTTGCTCATCGCTGTTCCAGAGTGAATCTTGGAAGATGACCCCCAGCCTTGCTTCACTCCTGAGACGTGTCCCCTTCTCACGCCGGAGCCTCTGGTTTCCACAGCTGTCCTGCCGTCTGTCCCTCTGCTCACCTGTCTCCTTTGGCCTCTTGTGCTCCCAGATCCTCCATTACAACCTGTGCCTCTTGATGCTGCCCAGCCTCTCCACAACCCCCAATCTCAGACTTTAGCTCTGGGAGGAGATAAGCAGCAGAGAGCCTGGCTGGTGGGGGCCCCGCCTCCACTTGCCCCCAAAAGAGCCCTTGTTTGTTTGGGTGCAGTGGCCCCAGGACATGGTTAGGATTGGAGAAGACGTAATCCCTTAACCCAAGCTTATGGCCCACTCCCTGCCAGAAAATAGGAGCCCCCAGTGCTGCAGAGGAGTCAGGCCAGTCCCTTAGCGTTTGTGAGGGATGTGGCTGCATGACCGCCACATACACAGGTATCATAGCCAGTTCTGGCAGTCAGATAATGAGTGATGACAGAGCTTGTCGAAGAGGGGAAAGCAGAAATTATTGGAATGGAACATTCAGGAGAAGGAATCCGAAGGACCAAGGTGGGGTGAGGGCAGGACCGGGGGAAGGAAGAGGCCAAAAAGAAAGGCAGTGGCAGACAGTGACTACTCCTTGAGCGCGGCTTAGGGGCAGAGGTGTTGCTGTTTGAGGAGGGAAGGAGACCTGAGCAGTTGGAGTAGACAGAGCCGGGCAAAGCAGGCTGTTTTCAAGGGAGATGTGCCTGTGGCTGGTGGTCCAGGAGGCTGTCAGCCTTCCCGAGGAACAGCCCCAGGGGCCGTTTATTATCTTGGTGAATTCACCATGGATCAGCTAGTGGTTCTGATTCTTGAGCAGGCTTGGTGTTTGTCAGGATGGGCGGCGTAGACCAGAATCGGGAATATGACCATGGGGCAAACAGGCGTGACCCCAGGTGGCGTGTGCTCTGTGACAAAGCCCCAAAGCTCTGGATCCTGCCGCAGAAGACGCTGTGCTTGGTCGTCCTTGGGCCTGCACACGGGAGAAGGAAGGGAACGCTATGGTGCATGTGGGGGGCGGGTAGGCCTGTGGCGCCCTTGCAGCCCTCCTCCGAGGTTTTTGCTTCAAGAGGGGCCCGTTGTGGGGCCGGGGGGTGTTGAAGGAAGAGCAGCAGCACTGTGACGCCTCGCTGCGTGGGCCCATTGTGGAGCATAAACGTGTGACACCCTGAGCTGGGTCAGCGGGCCACTTCTTCACATTGGTGCTCAGTACGTGCCTCGAGTGCAGATTCTTCCTCTTTCTAATACGGCAGGGGAACAGTTATCCTTTTACCTGCGAATGGTGTGCATATTCCAGGAGGCAGCCTTTAGTTCACCTGGGGGTCCTGAGGACCTTGACTAGACAGGGTTTTGTTTTTGCTCAGTACTGAAGCCCCCGGCTTGCCATGCCAGGCTGGATGTGGTCCACAGGCTCTTGTTGGACAGAGGCATTCTAGGTTGTCTCTGTTCCAAAGTCTCTGGACTCATGCCTCCTCCTGCCCTGGTTGGTTGGTGTCAGTGAGGGTTTGTCATCGCTATTCCATCTGTCCTCCATGCTTTCGTTATGTTAGGACTTTAGTCCACTGTCCCTCGCCTCACGCCTCCTTTAACAGGCTAGTGTCAACTTCCTACCTGTCCCTCGTGTCCCAGATCTACTGTCACATCCTGTATGAAGCCATCCTCCTTATCTATCCCAACTCTCCAACCAAGAAAATCTCCCCTTTTAGGACATTGTCTGTCTTGGCCTTTCTTCTGTCTTACCCCACACCCCAGTCACACTCCTGTCTGCACCTGTGTTGCCTGTGAGCGTGTGTACACACACACACACCCCGTGTGACTGCCACAGGAGGAAGCGATGTCATGCTGGCCTCTCCAGGGGACTGGCTCAGCGCCCTCACCTAGGAGACATTCAGAGCTTGGCTGGATCTAAGCAAATTGCTCAGGAATGCAAGTTGGATCTTTTCCTCATTTAGCTGCGAGGCTGTGTCCATGCTGGAACAGCCCCTGACAGAACTGGCTTCCTCTTGCAGGTGTGGACACTGCAAGAAACTGGCCCCCGAGTATGAGAAGGCCGCCAAGGAGCTGAGCAAGCGCTCTCCCCCAATCCCCTTGGCGAAGGTTGATGCCACTGCAGAAACAGACCTGGCCAAGAGGTTCGATGTCTCTGGCTACCCCACCCTGAAAATCTTCCGCAAGGGAAAGCCTTTTGATTACAATGGCCCACGGGAAAAATACGGTACAGTGGCTTCTTCCTCCTACCTTGGCGGGAAGGGGAGGCTCCCTGGCTGATGTGGGCAGCGGGCAGAGCCGCAGCAGAGCGCCCTGGAACCCTGGGCCCCTCCTCAAGTGAACCTCTGCTCCCAGGGATCATTGACTACATGATCGAGCAGTCTGGGCCGCCTTCCAAGGAGATTCAGGCCCTGAAGCAGGTCCAGGAGTTCCTGAAGGATGGAGATGATGTCATCATCATTGGGGTCTTTAAGGCAGAGAGTGACCCAGCCTACCAGCAGTACCAGGATGCTGGTAAGTAGTGGCTCTCTGGGCTGGAGAAAATGCATGCGTCCTGGCCATCTGTCTGAGGTTGCTGGGGAGTCTGCTGCTTCTGCATAAAACTCCTGGGCTTGGGGCCGGCCTAGTGGTGCAGCGGTTAAGTTCACACGTTCTGCTTTGGTGGCCCGTGATCTGCCAGTTTGGATCCCGGGTGTGGACATGGCACCGCTTGGCAAGCCGTGGTGTGGTAGATGTCCCACATATAAAGTAGAGGAAGATGGGCACGGATGTTAGCTCAGGCCAGTCTTCCTCAGCAAAAAGAGGAGAATTGGTGGCAGATGTTAGCTCAGGGCTAATCTTCCTCAAAAACAAAACAAAACAAAACCCTGGGGCGTTGATTTAGGGGATGGCTTGATGGCAGAACTGAGATGGCATCAGTGGGAACATGCTTTCCTTTCTGGGGTTGAGGTTGGAGGTTAGTTCCCTGTGGCCTTGATTACCTATGGGCGATATGATCTCGTACTAAATAGCTGCGCCATCTCCCTTCTGGCCTCTGAGAGGAGGGGAGGTCATCCAAGTTCATTGTCTACCTTCTTCCCCTTCCCAGAGCCCCTCTGCAAGGGGAGGGTCTTGACCAGAAAGCTCTGAATCAGACCCAGGTTGGAGTCCTGGCTCTGGCACTTCTTAGCACTGTGACCACAGGCAGTGGCTTGATCACTCTGGCGTTCTCACGTCCAGCATGATGATCTTTTCTTCGTTGAGAGGTGGTTAGGTTAATTGAGTATGTATGTAAGTGTAATGTAATGTAATGTAAATGAATGTAAATAAAGCGCCTAGCCAAGTGCCTGGTAATCCTAAGTACCCAGTGAATGCTGGTTTAGCTCGTCTGAGAAGTGACATTGTGATGAACAGCTGTCAGTAGTGGTGTTCTTTGGGGGCAGGGGTCCTTGCCGTCCTGGGGGCCCTGGGTTATGAGTGGGAGATGGCTATTTGAGGAACACTCAGGGTCCTCTTCATCCTTATCAGCTCCTTCCTAGCGCCCTCCTCCCTCACCCCGTGGTCACACGTACCTTCGCTCAGTTTCCTACTTCAAAGTGGTAATTATAATCTGTTCAATGCACTGCTGGCCACTTTGTGCTAATGTCTGCACTACACAGTAACAATTGTGCGTATGTCAGATGCAGATTTGCGTGGTGACACTTATGGTAGAGCTAAATTCCATTCCCCTGTCCAACATGAGACCTGAGGGCCTTCCTCCGTCTTTATTGATTAGGTAACCTTGTCATCCACTGGTAACCAGTCAGGAAGAAGCTTGAGGGGGCCTGTCCAGGGCCATGTCCGGGTGCAAGTCTCACGCTGTGTGGATGTAAATCCCCGGGGGTCCGTGTTAGGATGCAGGATCGGGTGCAGTAGGGCCGGGTGGGCCTGGGTACTGCCCGTGCTTCGGGTCTGGGCACCACACTTCGCGTGTGCCTCCCACGTGGCTTGGTCGGTCGGGTTAGGCAGCAGGCAGGGGTGAGAGTCACTGGGCCTGGTATGCCCGCCCGTTCACTGTGGACTGCGTGGAAGGAGCCAGAGACGGCCCTAGGGGTGCGAGTCCGTCTATGAGAGGCTGTGAACGTGGTGGGTAATGAAGGTCTTGAGGCGATTGACCCATGGCCAGCTGATGACAAATGCCTGGGGCATGTGGAGGTTCAGAACAGGAGTGGGAGACTGGCCTGCGAGTGAGTGCCTTCTGGAGGGGCCGCCTTATTTAATCTTCACGGCGCTCTGTGACGTGGACTCTCATGTTTCCACAGAGGAGGGACTGAGGCATGGGGAGGTGAATAGCTAACATGCCTGAAGTCACACAGTGAGGTCAAAATTATGCTTTGAATCCAAGTCTGTCTGATTCCGAAAGCCATAAGCTTGTCCAGGCCACTCCCTACCTCCCCCAAAACAGGTGGTGTACTGTCTTAGCCGTGTGTTCCTGTAACCCAGTTGGGAGGCCTGCCTGCAGGGGTGGGGTGGCACCTCTGGGGTCTCACCCAGTGTGTGGATCGCACACTCAGCTCAGGATGGGTCTGCATGCCTCAGCAAGGCCAGAGCGGAGGGACTGAGTGCGTTCGCCAGGGGGATCTAGGGCAGGGGTGCCCTCGGCCAGATCGGGCCCCACCCGGTTTTCTAAGTGTCATTGGAGCGCAGCCCCACGTGCTGCTTTACGCATTGTGTAGCTGCTTTCACACTGCGGCACAGAGTTGAGTGGTTGGGACGGTGCGGCCTGCAGAGCTGGGGATGTTTACTGTCTGATATTTATTGATGCTTTCCAGAAAGTTTGCTAGTCCCTGTTTTAGCGTATCCTCAGTCAGTGTGGGGTTTCATCTTGGGAGTTTTTAAATAAAAGTGTCCATACAGCAAAAGAATGGCAGCCCACAGACAGGCTGCCCACCAACTCTAGGAGGAGAGGTGGCCCCCCTGGGGAGGGTGCGATGCTCACTCGTTCTTGTGACAGACGCTGTCTGAGGTTAATGTGCTTCTCAGCACTGGAGGCGGCAGTTGACCGTAGCTCCTGGCAAATTAGCTCTAAGTTCTTCTGTGAACATTCAGTTTGTAGGTTTTTGTTTTGCTTTGTTTTGTACAAATTCCAGTGTAGAGTATTTAAAGCATTACATCTTTACCAAGTTTTAAAATCCAAACTCCCTTCAAGCATTTAGGCTCTAGTGGTGCCCGCACAGCATTCTCCATGGTAATTACACTGTTTTTAGGGCATTTGCTTTGGCTGAGAATGGATAATGAGTTAAACCTAGGTCGTGCAATCAACTTAATAAATTGTATCTTGATCCCTCTGTTAATTTCTCAGCTAACAACCTGAGAGAAGACTACAAATTCCACCACACTTTCAGCACTGAAATAGCGAAGTTCTTGAAAGTCTCCCCCGGGAAGTTGGTCGTGATGCAGCCTGAGAAATTCCAATCCAAATACGAGCCCAGGAGCAATGTGCTGGACATCCAGGTGAGTGCAGGCTCTCCGCACCGGCCAGGCCACAACGCCAGCGCCTCCAAAGTGCCAGCCCTTGGGCGTCCGACTGTCATGAAGACGCCGGCAGAGCCACTGCTGGGGTTTTAAAGCATGGAGATTTTGCTCCGGGCTTCAGGCACGTAGGGTCTGGAGTGCCTTCCGCGGCCCCTGGTGAGGGCGTAGGTTCCTGGAAGGCTGAGGATGGGAACACAGCCAGCAGGGTGGCCCGTGGTTTATTGGAGAGACTGGGGGGCTCCCACACACCTGGTGGGTCTTGGGGCAAAGTCCTGGCAGAGCTCTGCCCACTTTTGCAGAGAGTTGCTGCCACTCTTCCTGTGTCCTGGCAGGCAGCACCGCCCCTCCCGTAGGTGCCCCCCACGCTGTGGGTCTTGCCTGCATCTCTGCTGTTGCTCCTGCCAGGACATGCTGCTTGCTCAGAGGTCTGCCTCATTTGCCAATAGGCTGCAGAGCCATGGCCAGCCTCTCTGTTCACTGGATGAAGCTGTGGAGCATGGCACATGGGTTTGGCCTTCTTTTCTCTCCACCCTCATCTTCCTGAAGGGTGTGACACTCTCACCTTCAGAAGGGCAGAGGGAGTTCCTAGTCCGGCATGAGCCTGGATCCACAGGAGCCCGTGCTTCAGTGAATAGATCTCCAGATTTGAAAGAAACCTTAGATCTCAAGTGCAAAGTTTTTGTTTGGTGGAGACTGGATGCAGAGAAATGAGCTGTCTCAACCTGAGTCCCACAGCCGCTTAGGAGCAGACCGAGGGGAAAATACAGGTGTCCTTGTTCCTGGGCAAGCACTGCTCCCGGGGTGCCATGACCGGCTCCGTTTGGGCCAGAGCTCACAGGACCTGGAGGAGGTGGTGCCTGTCGGAGGGCAGGGCAGGGTGAGCTGCGCCTCCTCACTTGAGTCCTCTGGGCGTGCAGCGCAGAGAGCAGCCATGCCCCTGCTGATGTGTTCTTGTGACCAGGGAACACAGCGTGGCCCTGGAGAGACCGCCCTAAGCTTTCTGAGCCCGGGTCTTTAGTGCCCTCGCCCCTTCTCAGAGTCTCCCATGCGTCCCCGTCTGTCTGCTGCTGCTCAGGCTCGGGGCCCCTCGCCTCTGCCCTGGATGTATGGTGGCTGCCGTATCTCCTCTCCTCCAGCTTCTCTTCTTTCATCCTCAGATACTGACGCGGGGTCCAAAGAGGGACCCAGATGAGCTTGGGGGGCTGCAGACCTTGGGAAGTCTGGCAAGTTCTGTGTGGTATGCAGGTTCCCAGGAAAAGGGGGTCTGTAGCTTTCAATAGATTCTTGAAGGGGTCCTTGACCCCAAAAAGGTTAAGAGTCACACAGTCTAGACTATTATACATCCCTACCACTTTACTCTTTTTTAAATTTTAGGGGCTGGCCTGGTGGCCAAGTGGTTAAGTTCGCACGCTCGGCTCCGGCGGCCCAGGGTTTCGCCAGTGCAGATCCTGGGCACAGACGTGGCACCGCTCATCAGGCCACTTTGAGGCAGCGTCCCATATGCCACAACTAGGAGGACACACAACTAAAATATACAGCTATGTACTGGGGGGATTTAGGGAGAAAAAGCAGGAAAAAAAAATTTTAAATAGATGGATATTATTTATATGCCACCTTTGTTCCAAAAATTGTTTAAGGCTGCTTTGTAAAAATTCACACAACACAGTAAATGCAACTTAAAACAAAGTGGATTTAGCAGTGAGGATACAGAGAAGACCGGGTAAGATAGCTGAGAGGAAGCCGAGTATCGAGTCTGCACATGCAGCACTGCTGAGAGATGAGGAGTCAGTCTGCCTGCAGGACATGGGGAGGCGGCCCTGGCCTGAGTTCACACTGAGGCCCCAGGATGTGAGTGCTCGGCTCTGGAGCAGGTGTGCCCTGGTGTCACTCCACCTTACCCTGGAGTCCGCCTCCTGAGTGACGTTCAGTCCTGAGCTGTCAGTGCCACCTGGCCCCCTGCAGCCCTCCTTGTTCACGTTTCCAGCACTTTCCTCCCTTCCTCCCCCACCCAGTGCCCTGGGACCAGACCCTCTGCACCTTGTCTCCTGCCTCATTCCTGCCGCTTCCCTCGTTGGAGTGCCTCCTGCTCCCTCCCAGCTGGCAAGTCCTGCCCGTCCTCCAGTGCCACACAGGGCCTTCTCCCTGACTGTACCATCCAGATGGGACATGGGCCCTGGGGGAAGAGGCAGTGGTCATCCACTCTTTCCTAGCTGTACGAAGTAGGGCGAGCAGCTTAACCGTGGACATCAGTTCCCTCACCTGTAAAGTGAGACAGCAGTGTCCACCTCTGGTGTTGAGGCTGGGGTCTGGAGGGCCTGGCTCAAGTCCTGACTTAGTGGGAGCCCTTGGGAGCCCTCTGTGTCCAGGGCATTCTGCCTGTCCCGCAGGGCAGTCATCCCACCTCTGCTGACAGCCTGAGCTCTGTGTCCCCGAGCAACTGCCACCACGTCCAGCCGGTCACAGATGCTGCGTAAATGTCAGGGTTGGCTTCATTTCACTTGGAAAACACCTGGAAAGCCTCATGAGCCAGCCTTAAGAGCCACCATTGTTGAGCCTGACCAAGGACAACTGCCTGGGGTCCAGACCCAGCTGAGCTTCCTGCACCGCAGCCTTCCAGCTCCATCTCGGGAGGGGTGGCCTCCGGTGGGGCAGTGTCCCCAGCTGCATGGCTCTGTCCGGCTCTGTCTGGCCCCACATTCCTCCCCAAGGCCACCTCGTGTTTTGGTGTCGGGGGTAGAGAGTGTGGTTTCTCAAGGCAGAACGCAAAGCCTCAGTGGCTCCTTAAGCGGTGTACACTCGGGGCTCCCTTACCTCCCTGTGCTGCGATCTTGTAAAACATCCCTGATGGGGCCGCTGTGAGCATCAGCTGAGGGGAAGATGGAACGTGCCACTCAGGTCAGCCACGTTAACAGCTGCTGTCATCCGCAGCCAGGCCTTCTTCCAGCAGTTTCTGATTGACCTTGACAGTGAGCCCAGCCCTAGGGGAAAGGGTTACTGGGCATCTGCAGTTGCCTGGGAAGCTCACTTCAGGTTCTCTGGAGGAGAAGGAGCCCTAAAAGACAGCAGGGAATTACTGGGGTGTGCTCGAGTGGGGCAAGCCCGGAGCGTCTCCTCCTGTGCCATGTCCCTTCAGAGAAGATGTCTGTACTCATTAACAGTGACAGTGAAAGGTGGGAGTGTTTTGTTGGGCGCTCCTCACCTGTCCCCTCTTTGAGGCAGGGCTCCACGGAGGGATCAGCCATCAAGGACCACGTGTTGAAGCACTCCTTGCCCCTGGTGGGCCACCGCAAGACCTCCAACGACGCCAAGCGGTACACCCGGCGCCCCCTGGTGGTCGTCTACTACAGTGTGGACTTCGGCTTTGATTACAGAGCTGGTGAGGGACCCCCAGGGCCTGTCTGGCGGGTGGGACACTGGGAATCCTGCCCCCAGACCCTTGTGGTTTGGTGGCTGGGTGTGTTTTTTATTTACACCTCAGGGTCGTTTTCCATTTGTGCTGTGTAGCTAGCCTTTTCCTTCCATTTTGAGTAGGAGGGGAGCTTAGAGTAGAGACCAGCACCCTCTTGGAGATGAGGCAGCTGCGAGTTGGAGATGGTCGGAGGCTGCAGAGCTAGGACTAGACCAGCCCCGACTCCCAGGCAGGCGGGGCTTGTGTCACTGGGCACAGACCCCCATCACAAAGGTGGCATTTTTTAGAAATGCTTATCTCTAATTGAGGCTTGAGCCTTGTCAGAGGATATGAGCGACAGAATCTTGAAAGTGACCTCTTCGGCTGAGCCAAGACTGGAGCTGCTTCCCTGCTCAGCTCAGCCCTGGTCCCGTTTCAGCCACTCAGTTTTGGCGGAACAAAGTCCTGGAGGTGGCCAAGGACTTCCCCGAGTACACCTTTGCTGTGGCTGACGAGGACGACTTTGCCACGGAGGTGAAGGACCTGGGGCTCAGCGAGAGCGGGGAGGACGTCAACGCAGCCATCCTGGACGAGAGCGGCCGCAAGTTTGCCATGGAGCCTGACGAGTTTGACTCTGACACCCTCCGCGAGTTTGTCACAGCTTTCAAAAAAGGTGAGCGACAGCCAGGCCTCCCCTCGGGGCCCCCTCTGCTTCCTCTCCGCAGGGGGCTGGGCAGGCACGACACCTGGCCCCCCAGGTTTTCCTCCTGGATGTGAGGGACGGGAGGGTAGAGACGGAGGATCTCCATCCTTTGCTGTCTCTTTTTTTTTTTTAATAGAAAGATGACAGGTGTCTTAGAAATTTCAAGAAGGCTAATTTTTAAAATATTTAAAGTAGAACAGGCTCCTGGACTTTAGAAATAAATTGTGTGTGTAGAAAACTTGCTACGGGGCTGTACACAGAATGTTTTTTCCATCTGGTTGAGCGCATGGTCCCAGTTCCCCAGTGCTGGCAGGTGGTGGCCGTTGTCTCGCTGTCTGCCAGGATGCTCAGTGCTTCTCCCCACTGTGGCTTTCTGGGCCCCGGGTGCCGGCTCTCCCAGCAAGCCCTCTGCACCGGCAGCATCTCTCTTGTGACAGCCTCACTGAACAGGACCCAGAGGCCCAACACAGCCGGGTGAGGCCCACCTGCACCCTCTCTGGCCTTTGCTGGGACCGGGAAAGTGGAAGATTTGAGGAAACCATAGAGAGAATTACGTTGCCTGTTGTTGGGGGTGGGGTTTTGGAGACAAGGCCTTGCCCGGCCCTGGGAGCGTTTGACTTGCCCCATCCTCCTCCACATCAGGTGGGCCTCACTGCCTGGTCCAGTCGGAGCCACCAGGGTCCCAGACCTTCTCAGCACTCATGCCCCTCCCCTGCTTGCTTTCCTTGGCAGGAAAATTGAAGCCGGTCATCAAATCCCAGCCGGTGCCCAAGAACAACAAGGGGCCTGTCAAGGTCGTGGTGGGGAAGACCTTTGACTCCATCGTGATGGACCCCAAGAAGGACGTCCTCATTGAGTTCTACGCGCCCTGGTGTGGGCACTGCAAGCAGCTGGAGCCCGTGTACACTGCCCTAGGCAAGAAGTACAAGAGCCACAAGAATCTGGTCATTGCCAAGATGGATGCCACTGCCAACGACGTCACCAATGACCGCTACAAAGTGGAGGGCTTCCCCACCATCTATTTTGCCCCCAGTGGGGACAAAAAGAACCCAATTAAATTTGAGGACGGGGACAGAGATCTGGAGCATTTGAGCAAGTTTATAGAAGAACATGCCACAAAACTGAGTAGGACCAGGGAAGAACTTTGAAGGCCATGGGGTCTGCGGAGGGCGGGAGGGACCAGGGACATTGTAGCTTCCAGCAGCCAGCGCTAGAACCCCAGCGAGCCACCCAGCTGATGGGTTAGCGCAAGGGCACTATCTCTTTGGGTTTTTGTTTCTTTTTCTAAAAAATTTTTTATACCCTGATATTTCACTTCATGCTCTGAATACTGAATAGATAAGAATGACTCAATAGATTAGTCCAGATTTTTACAGAGGATATATCTATTTTTATCATTATTTGGGGTTTGATTTTTTTTTTAACCTTCCACTTTCTTTAATATATTTCTTCAAAGCAGATAAATTGAATCTCTTCTGTGTGAATTGTTTTTTATTTAAAATTTTAAAAAAAACCTTTGCCAAATCATGTTGATTTTTGCCTTTTATTTTATCATTGTCTGAGGAATTAGTAGGTGAAGAAGATTTGACTGTTGATGTGCTTTAGCTTTTGTTGCTTTCTGTTGTGGCACCAAGTGAGAACTGTCGCCAAGCCCCTACCCAAGGATGACATTTCAGCCCGATCTCTGAGTCACACCTGGTCCAGAGAGAAGCACCATCTCTGTGCAGGACTGGGCATCGCCGTGCCTTCTCTTTTCAAACCAAGGACTGCAGGGTGAGGAGCGTTTCTCAGGTCTCCTAGACCCTTCGAGTCAGGTTCCAAGGCTCGTTCATGGAGAGAGCCACCCACCTGTGGCAGGCAGCCTCGCTTCTTCAGAGTCAACATTGCCGGAGGAGAGATGACCTAGGCACAGGTGGATACTTGAGGGTCATGGAAAAGATAGGGAAGGCTGTCATGATGGAATAAAGAAATTATTGAAAATTAACCTGCCCAGCTGTGTCAGAGAACATCCGCTCCGCCCCAGAGCCTTGGTTGAGTTGAAGATGGAGAGGCTGAGCTGGGCCGGGTGAGGAGGACGCTCTGTCCTGCAGAATGCAAGTCACCTCACCCAACCCCTGAACGTCCGCGCAGTGGGGTGTCATCCTGACCTAGCTGGGGGGCATCCGTGTCTCAGCTCTTGGTTGTGTGGAGGTGGGCAGTGGCACATTCTGTTGGGATAGGGTAGGGATAGAGGACAAGGAGCCTGCCCTGAGCACTTCTGGGGGCTGGAGGAGGGGATAGGACAGGGCGAGAAGCTGGCCCAGCCCTCACTCAGGTTCTGGGGGATTTGTGTGATGTCCGTTGCATTCCAAGAGTTGCTTCACCGAGATGTGCCGCCTCCCCCTCCCCTCCCCCGCCACTCACTCCTAGTTTTGATTGAAAGAAAAGTGCTGAGGTTGAAGTTTCTTGAGCTGGTGGCAGTTCTTTCAGCAGTGACTGGTGTGGGTGTGGCAGGGGTTGGGTGGGGGGCAGGAAGCAGGTGTCACGGGAAGGGGCAGCGTAGGTGGGTCTTTCCAAATGATCTGCTTTAAAGTTGAGTCTGGCCAAGGTGGACTGGGAATTATGGGTGGGCGATGGTGTCTGGTAAGTTCTCAGAATCTCCAGTGTGACAAAGTCTCCTACACCCTCAGTGTCCTCTTCCATCAGGAGGACACGTGGGCCTCCCCCTCAGGGACTTGATCTCAGAAAGCTCACAGGAGTAAGTGGGTGTGGGGCTTGAAGGCGTTTTCTACAACCGAGAGGCATGCTCCTCCAGCACCACCTGGAGAACAAAGTGGTTCCTCCCCTGGGGCCTCCAGTCTAGTCAGGGAGACATCACACACACACACGTACACACACAAACCCACCCCCCAGGAGGAAGAGACCTGGGCACCAGGAGAGAGTAACAGCATGGCTTTCTTTGAACTGAGATGACCTGGAAAGCCCCTCTTTCTGAAGCGACATCTGAGCTGAGACCCAAGGATGGGTTGGCTTGAACCCGCAAAGGATAGGACTAAGTCTGGCTTCTCAGTGTAGTTCCAGGACCTGCAGCTCTGGCACTCCCTGGGCGTTTGTCAGAAATGCGGAGTCGCAAGCTGCGCCCCAGACCTGCTAAATCAGAATCCGCGCTTTAGGAAGATCCCTGGAGATTCATAAGCACATTGGAGTTTGAGAAACACCAGACAAAGGCCCTGAGGCAGAAGTCAAAGTGTATCCTCTTCTGAAATAATCTGGAAACCAGGTTGCCCAAGAGAGTATCTTACCTGAGTTAACTCCTCCTATATTGACTATGAAAAGCAGACCCCCTACCTCTGTGGAAGAATTTACCCCAGACTGATTAGGGAGCTTGTAGACAGGTAAAGCAGACAGGCAGCAAATCGATTCCAGTCTGGTGTGGACACAGCCGTGGTGACAAGTGCAGGGGTGTGGAGGCTGGAGCAGCCCTTTGGAGAGGCTGACCTGGGAGCCAAAGGAGGAGGGGGGAGGGGTACACTTTCCAAGGCATAGCAGATGCAAGGGGACGGAGGCATCCGACTGCGGGGTAACTGGAAAACCACAGAGGGAAGCAGTGGAGGTGAGAGGTGGGAGTTGAGGCTGGAAGAGGTAGGGCCAGATGTGCGGTCCTTTTGCAGTAAGTCAAGAATTTGACCTTATTCAAGAACTTTGTGAGGAACCATTGATGGTTTTAAGCAGGGAAGTGACATGGTCAGGTTGAGATTTTTACAATACCAGTTAACACTTGGGACCTTAGCAAAAGCCAGACCCTGTGTTCAGGAGTTTGCCGGGTTATCCCGTTCAAGTGATCTGTGGGGCGAGAACTACTGTGTTCATTTTACAGCTGAAGAAAGGAGTGGGGAGGGGTCAGCCAGCCCCAGGGCAGGTGTCTGCAAATGCAGAGCTGCGGTTTGGACGCAGGCCCCTCAGTCCCTGTCCTGTTGCCTCTCCCTTGTAGAAAACCCAGTCTGGCAGCAGGGGTGTGAGGGGCCGGCTGCATTTTGAGTATTAAATGGGCTCCAGCAGGCTAAAGGGGCGGGGTCTCCAGGACTCGGGCTAATGGGAAAGTGAGGGTGGGTGAGTGGACCTGAGAAGTCTGGTATGACATCCAGGTTTCTGAATTGAGTTTTTGTTATCAATTATGAAACTTCTCAAGCATACAAAAAATGTAAAGAAAAGTATAACCAACGCCCTAAACTCATCAGCCACCTACAACAGTTAGCAAAATTTTGATACATTTTCTGTATCTGTCTGTCCTCCCTTCTTTAATGACGCATCCAAGACATGTCGTTACCGCCCTGCATACTTGAGTATGCGTTTTCCTGCAGAACCGCAGTGCCTTGTCACCCCTACCAAAATAAACAGTCATTCACCTCGGACCCAGTCTGTAGTCAGATTTCCCTAGCTCTCTCAAAAGTGTCTTTCTATAGTTGATCAGTGAGCGGTGCCTGCCCTTGGGCTTTGTCTCCAGTCCTGCTCCAGAGTGGCTCCTGTCAGCTCTTCTTTCCGCCAACAGCTTGACCCACTGCAGACACAACGACAAGGGACCAGTTGGATAGGTAGAGTTGTGTTTTGTACACGCATGAGGAACGTCCAGTTGTCGCCACCTCGGTGGTGTGTCCAGGGGGGATACCGAGACCTGGAGAGACTGAGTGCAGAACACAGCACCAGATCTTACCAGACTGATAATAGGTGCCATCGACTGGGTGTCCACTAGGTATCAGGGACCTGGCGTATGTTATTAATCAAAGCTTTAATCCAAACTGGCTACTGTTTAGCTGTGTGTCTTTGGGCAAGTTACTTAGCTCCTCTTGGAGCTTATTTCCCCATCTCTAAGGTGAAGACACAGGCCTCTGCAGGGTATTAGTAAGGATCTGATGTGATAACGTGGGCCCGGGGTTTAGCCTTGTTCCTGGCATGTGGTCCTCACCGGGGTGCAGTGGCCGTCGCTCCAGGTTGCAGAGGGAGCAGCTGAGTCCCAGGCTTGCAGTTGTGCTTGAGGAAGGCGCAGCCGCTCTTCTAAGTGGTCATCTTGCAGCCGAGTCTGCTCAGGAGATGATGTGCTTCCTGGTGTACGAGAGGCGATTGGGGCACAGAGCACCAGACACCAACTCAAGCTCTGCAGAGCCCTGAAATGCTGAATTTCAGGCCTTGTCCCATTGTTTAGACAAAGAGCCCATCTCTTTGTCTGTCCTGCCAGTTTTGATGGGCCAGGATGGGGCCGTTGACTAGCATGGTGCAGACACAGGTTGACCCCAGATGGAGGCTGTGGGTCCGTGTGTATAAAATGCAGGTTGCTGGACCCCATTTCTGGCCCACTGAATCAGGTGGGGCAGGGTTGGAGCCTCGTGACCTGTTTTCAGAGGCTCCCAATACAATCGCATTTCACCCTGAAGGTAGGCAGGACAGGTGTGATGACCTCTCTCATGTCATAAAGGAAATGGAGGTCAGAGAGGTTAACTGATCTGCCCACAGCCACACAGCCAGTAGATCATGAAGCCACCGTTAGGACTCAGAACCAGTGTTCTTTCCCTGGCACCAGCATTTCCCAGATGTGTTGGCACTTCTGAAGGAGATTAAGAAATGCCCCGTTAAAATCGAATTCTGTTGGTAATTTTACTTGGGAAATACTGGAACTAAAATAAATGCATAAGTGAGGTTCTTGAAGAAGCTCTCGGTCTGCGATGTGGTGTGCTGGGGCTCTCCGTGAGAATATTGGGCCTTCACCTGGCTGCTTTGACCGCAAACCACACGGATCCACAGAGCTCCATGGTAACCCGCTCTCCCAGTGCCCAGCCCTGTGAGCGCAAGTGTGTTTTATGAGAACAGACCTGCCCTGGGCTCCTTCCCCAGGCCCTGCGGAAGTACGATGCTTTCCCCGCCCCCCTCAGTCCCCCTGTCAGTGTGGACCAGCCCTAGGGTGGGGGACGTGGGCCAGAAAGTGCTCCAGGAGCCCAAGGACAAACCTGCCTCATGAGCCCGTCAGTGCACAACTTCAATAGCAAGGCAGGGGTGTGTCCCAGCCCGCCTTCTGAAGACCCTGTCAGAGAGGGCACTTGACTGTGGTTCCTCGATTCCTAGTGTAAAGGCATCACCTGTACTAAGGTGCTGTAGTCCCTCTGGTTACCCACGTGACAGTCAGCTGGCCGGGCCAAGCACGGGGCTCGGGAAAGCGGAGGATGTGGGAGGCCGCTGCGGGCGGAGCACAGAGAAATGAAACAGCTCAGAGCTGTGGGTCCTCGGGTGGACCGGGCGGGGGGGGCTCTGTGGCCCCACCTCCCCTAACGCAGAGTCCCCTTCACTGCCACAGCCCCCGTGGGCGCTCTCTTCTCACTCAGCTTAACGAGCACAGCGCTCCAGTGCCACGTGTTCCCACCTTAGATTACAGAGATACTGCGGGAGGGGGAGGAGGACAAAGGACCACTTGTCAGGAAAGACTGAGAAGGGGGCTTTTTAGAAAGCGGTGACTGGCTTGGAGGAGTCCTGTGGGAAAGGGGCCCTCTGTCTGTTCTTCCTGGCTTTTCTCATAAAAAGAAAGTGTGGGCTTAGCTCAGGTTGGATTGAAAACCGATGCCTCAATTGCGGGCGATACAGGAATTGAGAGTCCTCCCTCTCCCTGCCTGCCGCAGAGTGTCCTGCTCAAAATCGCAGATGCTTGGGGTTAGCTGGAGATGTGAGAGACCTTCAAGGTCAGAGGTTAAAAACTCCAGTGTTCAAGGCACCCAGTAGGTAAGTTAAGTGGACGAAGGGGCTCGATGCAGGCAATAGGGAGTGGTGGTGACCAGGGCACACTTGAGATTCTGTCCTACCCAAGGGGGCACTTGTTGCCTGTGGGAACCTGGGCCTGGTGTTGCTGTTCTGATTTTTCAAGAAAAGTCAGACGTTTTTATGTGAAATCCTCCAATTTTTAAAGGTTGGAACTAGTTCAAATTGTTTTATCAATACTATGAGGGTGGCCCTGTGGCCAAGTGG